TGAGCAATCAAAGAGCCAACAGGCTGGAGAGAGATAAGGTCTACGTCCAGGGTCAAGGGCATGTGGCCCCAGCAGGAAGTGAAGGTACTGGGCATCTCCAGGCCCAGTTCTCTAGTTTCCTAGCTTTGTGACCTTGGGCACTGCAGGTTAACATGTTGAGTGAACACCTTCAGTCTCAGCTGAAAAAAGAAAATATGAATTTCATGGGCTCATATCACCTGTGTGAGAAAAGTATGATGACACACAGGAGATGCTCAATAACAGATAAAAATAAAAGGATGTTGATTTGTTAATCAACGTGGAAACATAAACATTGAATTCGGAGATACAAGTTGAACCTCTGTCCTAGGAGGGGTGGTGGGCCTGAAGCCTGACAAACTTGGGCTCAGGCTAGAAAATACCTTGTCTAGCTATGCATCCCATACTTTTGAAGTTCCGTCTCATCTCTAAAATGCAGATCCTATTACTTAAGATTGCGACCAGGATTTAAATAAGTCTTATATAAAGCTTCCCAGCCCATAGTAGGAGTTTAACAAACAAGTAGTTTCTTTGCTTTTTCATTTTTTAGGTGCCAACTGTATTTTCTAGAGGCTCATTATTTAACTAAAAACAAGCAAAAAGACTTAAATTACCCAACGTAAAGAAAATGAGAAAGCAAACCCACGTGCAAGTTACAATAGTATGGGCTTTGGGGTTTTGGTTTTTTTGAATGTGGAAAATGGACAGGAATATGTCGAAGTGATGGATTCAAAAAACCGAACATAATCCGAAGTTAGAAGAAAACTTAAAACATGAACCCAATCCTACCTATTGCTGATAACTGTAAATACTTTCTGATTCCACTACTTACTTTGAAATTCAAGTTAAAGATTGCTCCTAGTACTGAGACCTCCTTACTCACTCTCCTTCAATGAAGGCTCACCTGGGACGATGCGTTATTTTCTCCCTCACAACCACCTAAGACTTAAGTAGTAGTACCTCTACTGATAATTGCAGGCGCAGACACTGAGGCTTTCTGCGCGGGCAAGGAGCATTCTCGGGACGCCCGACAGGCCGACTGCGGGGCCTGAGGCCTCAGTCGCGCGCACACCGCTCGGCCACGGCTCCAGGTCGCGCCGGGTGAAGGTCCCGCAGGCCCGGCAGGCCAGCAGGCATACCTGGCCTCGGCGCCGAACGCCGTCCCCGCCGTGACCTTGAGCCTGACGGGAAAGAGCTCGGACCCTGCCCAGGCGTCCGCCCACCCCGGCCCCGCTGACCGCGGCCTCGGCCCTCGGCGCCCCGCAGCCCCGGCCGCCCTGCCCCGTGGGAGCGCGGCCAGACCGGGGCGGAGATCCGCGCCAGGGACCCCGCGCCCTCTGCCCCGTGGCGGCCCCTCCCTGAAAGGGCGGCGCTGCTCACCGGAGCCCGGGCAGGAGGCTGCAGGGGGCCGCACGCCGTAGGAGGCCACCGGCAGAGGCCGCTCCGCGGGCGTGCAGCACTTGCACCGCCATGTTGCTTCGGCGCCTGGGCTCCCACAGTCAGGGCCACCGCTGACGCCGCCGCCTACGAGACCCCTCCCTCGGCTAGGCTCCCCAAGGCCGGGGCGGGGCCGGGCAGGGCGCGGGGCCGCTGCAGCGAGGGGGCACTGCCGCCAGAGGGAGCCAGAAAAGAATTAGTACCGGGCTGCGAAAGGAGCTGGTGCCCAGAACATGGTGTGCCAGAAGGAACACAGGCAAGGCTTGAAAGAAAAAAGTAACAATGTTGCTAGGGGTCTCCAGGGCCTGGGGGACAAAGCTGGGGGGAGGGCTTCTCCCCAAATACCTTTTAAATTTTGTACCCGTATGTCTGTATTGTCTTTTCAACATAAATAAACAAACAAAAAAACACATACATACAGCTTTAATAAAATGCATTGTTCCAGGGCATGTTTTTACACTCATAAAAATTTTTAAGAAAGAATTCTGGATGGAAACATATTCAAGTTCTCTTAGGTTCAAAACTATGCTGTTCCTGTTTATTTCAGCAGCGGTGGGCAGCCTCTAGCTACATCCTTGCCCTCAAGCCAACCCAGTCTAGTGGGGCAGGATGTGAAATGACTGGATCAAGTGTGAAAAGTGTGGAAAGGAGAGGTTCACAAGGTGGGAAGGGGGCACGGACGGGAGAGCTTTTAACCAGCAGTGGCTGTGAAGCATAGATGCACCCAGGAGCTGACACAACAATGCAGTTCAGCAGAAGAGAAGTTGACGGGGAGGTCATTTCCAATCAGCAAAAGAAACAACTTAAACAAACGCGTGGGACAGGATGGCACTGTTTGGGGAAAGTGCACCTGCAGTAAGATAAAAGAGCCACAAATGTAACCATGAAAACTGCAACAAAGATGGGCAGAAAGGGAGCTAGACAGTGAGAGAAGGGGAGAAACAGGAAGCAGAGGCCCCACCCATTAAAGGGAGCATTTCAAGGCCAGTGGGAATCTGTGGAGGCCAAGGGGGAAATGCCCCAGGACCAGGTAGCTGGGAGGTCTTTGTATTCATGGTAGGCAGAATAGAAAGCAAACCAATATGGGGAGGGGAAGGGAGACATGTCTCACTCATTAATTCAGCAGCCCTGAGCCCAGCCAGATTGATTGCCAGGTGTTCTGAATATCACAAGAGAAACCATGATAGTGCAGGAGGGAGTTGAAATTCTGTATTATTCCTGCTATTTAGGAAAGAAATCCTTTGAAACTGTAAATTCATCTCAAAGTCCAGAGAAGGGAGGAGGAGGGGGAATTTAGAAGCTGGCTGGTTGCCTGCTTGCAGCTTTGTGGTCACATGTACTTCATAAATTACTCTCTCATTTCCACTATATGTGTTGTCTCTTGCCTGAATTCATCTCTCACGAGTTAGACAAGAACCAATGAGGGGGAGCCCCCTAATTTGGGTCTCCCCAGTAACATCGAGGTAGATCTCTGTAGGAGGGGTAGGGAGGGGTTTTCTGAAGCTGGTCATCTTGGAGGTACTGGGGCTCAAGGGGTGAAGTTTTCTGACTGGGGCAATGTTTGAACACCATAATATGGTAAGGAGCCACCACGGAGGACAGAAATAGGTCCTGTGGGTGGAGGAGTGGCAACAAGGATTTGCCCCAGACAATGTATTTAGGTAGAAGCATCTGTCTCTTGAAGGCCAGGAAAGAAAGCCACGGACACATGGACAGGAGGCTAGAGGCTGTAAGGCTGAGAGTTCCTGACCTCAGCTGGGTTAAGCTCAGTGAGGCTGTACAGGCTGAAGAGTCACATGGAAGGCTGAAGTGAGCTATCCCCAGGACAGAACTGACAAAGTCCCAGTCCTGCACAGCAGGAGGCAGGGCCTCTTCAAGGCAGTATCAATATGCCCTGTGACTTCTCACACATTCCCCCCGTATCTCAGCTCTCTTTCAGGAGATACTTTCAAATCTATTTTCCTGAAATGTAAAGTTGGTAGACATTTCTTTGCTGATCTTGCTTTTGTGTTTAGTATTAGGCCACTCACTCTGCATTTTTTCCCTCCACTATCCTTTTGCTTTGAATTTCCATTAACTCAACGCTTTTTACTGAGGGTTATTTCACAGATGTGTGACTTGGGTTACTCAACACCATAGAATAATTTTGAGGCATCTTCCTGAAGCATAATTTTTGCACCACAATTTAAAAAAAAATCTTAAAGGATAAAAATGATAAGAGTATAGGTGAACATTTAAAATATTCGAGCATTTAAAGATGGCTTGCACAGGTGACCTGTCCCTTCCAGGATAACTGGTACCACATAGCCCCACCTGCAGAGACCTAATGCTTAGTCTTAAGTCTTAATGCTTCCCTTTTATTCATAGGCCTCCCCCGCCACCCAAGACCTGAGAGTTCTACTTTGGAACATAATCTATACAATCTCTTTTATCTTCATTGTCCAACTCAGTTTATGTCTTAGGACCAGTCTTTGAAGAGGTCAGCCTCCCTACCTCTAATCTTTCCCCTCCCAGTCTATTCTCTACACTGATGCTATTACTTTTATTGAAATGTGAACCTAATTACATCACTCTTTTAAAAAATGTTAAATAACCCACCTTCACTTAGAGCGTATTTACTATCTCTACCTGATTTCTACCCTTGTTCAAAATGTTCCAGCAATTCTCACCTGCTTCCAGAAGCCCTTGGTTATGCTCCTTTCTCTCATACTTTAAGGACTTTATATTGTTCCCCCTGCCTGGAATGTCCTTTCCACATCGCTCACCTACTAGCCTGGAAACTCTTAAGATTCAGTTCAAGCCTCATCTCATCTCGTCTGGGGAGTTACTCTGATTTCTCCCCACCCATGTACTTCTTTTGTTTGCCATGAAGGCACCTGTGTACGAGCCCTGAGAGGGTGGGCAGTGCCCATGGTCATTGTTAAAACCGTGGGAATGTATAATATACATATTAGTTGAGGTTGAACTATGCTCCAAATCTCTTTCTAAGAGCTAGAAAACTATACTATATTGCTCAATGTTTCTTCAGGTCAAAATTTAAATAATCAAAACTAATGTACAGCAACAAAACTCTGAAACTCTCCAATTCTAACATGCATGTGAGAAGTTCTACAACTTCATCAATGTATCAGATTTCAAGAACTTATTCCTATTTAATGTAGCATAGGATACAGAATTTAAAAAAGTAACAGATTTTTAAAGTTTTATTTTCTACATGTCAACATTCTTACTAATGAAAACTTTACCCAGATAGATTCTGACCCCCAAGCATGTTGGTTATTTCTGTCTGGAACCGATTAAATAAGAGAAAAAAATTAAATTAATTTTGAATATACGCCATCAAAAACATTCACTCAATGTGATCTTATCTGTTTATAATATCAAGAGGGCTTCTGCTCCCAAAATAAATTCAAGATTCCTTTGAATGAAAAGAAAAACACGTAAAACAGTAAGCTGAAAAAATAATGCAGCAGATTACTAGGCACATTTAGTATAACAAGAAAGTATGTTCACTGAACAAGAAATTTAAAACATGGCCATTAACCTTTTTGGAAAATTGTAACAAATACTTTATTCATTTACTCTTAGCTATTTCATAAACATCAGAAGAGAAACTGATCAGTTTGTGATGAAACTTAAATTTCTTTTTCCAGAGAGCACACTTATAAATCTTTCCCTTTGGCTCATTTTTCTAATACTCCTTCACTGTTTTGAAGAGATACTGAGTTCTTCCAGATTTTTGGTTAGATGGGTGGTTTCCAAACTAACTGGATTCTCCAGGTAGGTAGTTCCTGCACAGGGTTTTCCGGTAACTGGATCTATGACTTGTCCAACCTTGAAAATGATCTCAGCCAGCTCATGTTTCACATGTTTCGTTCGTGGAACAGGTAAAGCTTTGAGTAGCACAATATCCCCAACTGTGCACTGTTGAAGAGCATCGTGAGCAAAGTAGGTTTTTCGTTTATTAAAATACTGTTGAGAGAAGGAGGAACAAATCAGCAGTTCCTGTTTTCTAGCAATGCAGTACAGAATATGAAAAAATAATTCACAGAAAGCAAGCTGGGACTTGGGAGAAAAACAGGTAACACACTTAAGAAAGCTTCCAATACAAAAATTACCTGTTACTTTCGGAAAACAGCAATGACTTCTCCAGAGATGATCCTGTCCCCAAGCTCTCCAGAAGTATTACCTTCAGAAGCCTTGTTCTCTTTTACTTTTTTAATTTAATCTTTATTGTATTTTTTCCCCCTTAAGTAGCCTTGTTCTATCAGTCACCATCCTTCTCTACACTATTTACATTCTTCCTTCCAGTGGCACCTTCTCTCCAGCCCATAAACATACTATTGTCACCAACTAGCTCTGTGTGATTTAGGACAAATCACTTAACTCCAAGATCAGTTCCCCGCCCCCCACCATAAAATGAGGCTCTAATACTTACATCTCTAAAGGTGCCAAGAGAATTAAAGGTTACAATGTACACAAAGCACTTACTCCATACCTGGCTCAAAGTAGGAAACAAGCCACAAATAACTAGAATCATCTGTTCAAGACAACCCCACCACAGCAGGCATTCCCACTTACATTTGAAATTAACAGCCTCAAGGAGGTTAAGCATTGTGCACAGCTCGTAAACAACAGAGTCAGTATTGAAACTAAAGTCTGATTTTAAGGTCAATTATCATGCCATCACTTCTCAGCTTACTCCTGTATTTTTGATCCTAGATAACTGGCGCTTCTACCAACCTGTATGCCCAACCTTGAAAGCAAAAGCATCCTTGGCACTTCTCCCTCCCACCTTACACATCTATCAAGGACTGTTCTTTTTGAAATCTACTTTTCCCATTACATCCCCATTGCTCCAAGGATTGTTTAGGTCCTCATCATTTCCACCCTAGGCTTTCGCAATAGCCTTCTTACCCATTTCCTCACCTCCAGTCCTCATCCCGGCCCATCTCTAAGTCTGTCTTTCCTTTGCTTATAGGATGAAATCCAAAGTACAACATAAAAGGCCCTTCATGGTCTCATTCTGATTATTCTTGCCATCATTCAGCAGTGACCACTTAGTGCCAAACTCTGGGCTCACCCTTGCCAAAATACCTGCTGTTCAACGTCATACCCCTTCACAGCTAAAGAACTTCCAAAAACTGCTCATCATGGCCAGAATGACTTCCCCAACCTGGTCATCTGGATAAAATCCTTTTTGAGATACAGCTCAAACGTCTCCTAATGAGGATATGCTCCTTCGACAACTTGGGAAGGAGGAATGAGGTGTTCTGCTCTCTGCTGCCATAATCCATTGCACATAGAAGGACTACAGCACTGACCAGACTGAACTGAAATGAGCCCTAGAATGTGAGTACAAACCCTGAATAATTCATTCTGTTACACCGAAGAACCAGCCCAATACCTAGTTCGCAGTAGATGCTCAAGGCATTTTTACTGATAGAGAAGTGCTTTTCGGCTCAGAACCCAGAACGTGTTGGTGATTTATCAATGCCAACCGAAAACAGGGATATTTCCCACCTTTAGTAAATAGGGATCCAGAACAAGCCTGGTTACTCTCACTTTAGCAGTTTTTTGCATTGCTGTCCCAATCACTTTCCCCACGATCCATTTCGCATGGACAGATGAACGCGGTACTGACATTTCAGGTGGCTTTGGTCACCTGAAAAACAAATTTCATAGTTTAATATTCTGGTGGTTATGACTCGCTAAATGAATTTTGTCACTAGAACTGCCCAAGTTTAGAAACAGCTTTTGTTGGCTTTCTGGAATCACCACTTTAGAGATGCTTACACGATTCCCTATTTCCTTAACTACCCGAACTCCCATTTTTACAGTTTACAAAGCTGTAAATTTAACCCCTCTAAGCCTGCTTCCCCCTCTGCAAAATGGGAACTTCAACAGGGCCTATTCACAGAAGTGTTCTGAGGCGCTTAATAACGCAAATAAACGCTGGTTTTTATTGGTGTTCCTTATTCTTTTCCATCCTGCTGGCTACTCGCGGCGCGCACGGCCTTGGACCAGCAGCGGTGTCCTCACAACAAAGGAGACCTTGACTTAGGGTTCCTTTCGAGGTCAGTTAGTTAATACTGAGTAAACCCCATTGGTCTGGGGAAGGTCGGGGGTGATTGAGCCCTCCGCTCCGGTTGACAACCCGGAGGTTAAGCGACTCGAGTCGTCCCGAGGACTTTCACTGGGAAGCAGCCCGGACCCTCGAATCCTCCCGCTCCAAAAGAAGCGTGCAACCCACACTCACCTCCAGACTGCGAAATCCTAGCGAACAAGAGCCGGTCGCAGTCTGGTTGCGTCACGCCGCTCGCAGTCGCTCCGCCCCGGAGGGCCCCTCTCATTGGCCATAGTCCCATCAGTTCCGGGCGGAGTTAAAGGCGTGACTCCGCTCACTCCTCCCTAAAGGGAGCCGCGGACTGAGAAACACGTGCAGTGCACGGGAGGTTTTCTGGCCGTTGGCTTTTCTGTGCTATTTGCGTTACTCTACTTTCGTTGAGCCCCCCGGCACTGAACAAGGCCTTCCAAATCAAAGGAACTTCCTTAATTCATCAAATACTGAAACATCGGACGCAGCTAAATGCTGAGACAAATGCTTGGACTTAAATATTTTTACCCAGAGCGGCGTTTAAGACACACTTCCGTAGTTTATAGTGATGTTAGGTGTTATTTCTCAGTATCTGGGAGATGGGAAGAAGTCTGGTGTGGGTACATATATACGTCAATTATGAAGGAGTTAGATGGGCCATGAGCAGGATGCTTGATGCTACCTTCTCCATAGATAGAGGGAAATCTCGGACTGTATTAGGCTTTTGTTCAGGAACTGCAAATAGGAACTGAAAACAATAGGCTACTAGGACAGCCATATTAAGGACCAAAATATGGGTGTGATCAGTTGTCTTTGATCACTGAAACATTTTAGCAGGTGTTGAGGGAAGGCTGGGAAAATTATTTATCCATACGTTAGTCTGTCCGACACCCATTTCTTTCTTAGCAAACCTTTATGGAAAACTTACACTAAGACTCTGTGCTAGACACTGGGGACAAAAAATGAATCAGAGGAGGCTCCCCACTCTTAAAACGCCCACAGTCTAGTAGGGAGAGGTGAATAAAATGACAATTATAAAACAAGCAGGAGTAATGAGAGCCTTGAGAAAGGATCGTCAGATTTTGCAGAGAGAGTAGACTTGATTAATAACACAGCTCCTGGCCAGGGGACCAGAGCTTGAGAGGAGAGGGACATGTGATTTAGGGAGGGCACTGACGGTTTAAAGGAGTCTTAGATACAGGGCAAGGGTAGCGTGGCAGGAATTGAAGCTGGGCAAAGAGCCCTCTAATCAGGTGAGCTACCCGGTCAGTGCCCATCCCTTTTGGCAAGCATCAGCTTGTTCTCCGTATTCGTGGGTCTGTTCTGTTTGTTTTTCAGATTCCAATTTTAAGCAAAATTATATGGTATTTGTCTTCCTCTGTCTGACATTTTACATAGCACAACACACTCACTATAGCTTCATCCATGCTGTTGCAAATGATGAAATTTTATTTTTTATGTTGCAGAGTAAATTTCATCATATAAGTATATCACATATTCTTTTTTAAAGTGAATATTGAAAAATTACATTTTATTTTTTTATTTGTCATAGTTGACATTTAATTTTATTTTATATTAGTTATAGGTGTACAGCTTAATGGTTAGACATTTACATAACTTGTGAAATGATATCCCACCTGGTACCCACCTGGTACCATGCTTAGTTATGACAATATTATTGACTGTATCCCCTATGCTGTACTTTACATCCTTATGACTATTTTGTAACTATCAGTTTGTACTCCTTAATACCTTCGTCTTTTCTCACAGTCCCCAAGCCCACTCCCATCTGCCAACCATCACTTTGTTCTTTGTCTATGAGTCTGTTTGTTTTGTTTATTTGTCTTTAGATTTGACATAAAAGTGAAATTATATGGTATTTGTCTTTCTGTATCTGACATTTTATTCAGTATGGTACTCTCTAGGTCCATCCATGTTGTTGCAAATAGTAAGATTTCACTATATTTTATAGCCAAATAATATTCCATTATATATATATACCACATCTTCTTATCCAGTTGTCTGTTGATGGGCACTTAGGTTGCTTCCATATCCTGGTTATTATAAGTAATGCTTCAGTGAAAATGGGGGTGCATAAATCTTATCAAATTAGTGTTTCTTATTTCTTTGGATAACTACCCAGAAGTGGAATTGCCAGATGACAAGGTAGTTCTATTTTTAGTTTTTTGAGGAACCTCCATAATGTTTTCCATAGTGGCTGCACCTATTTGTAACCCCTGCCCCCTCCCTGAAATACACAAGGTTCCTTTTTCTCCATATCCTTGCCAACACTTGTTGTTTGTTGATTTGCTTATGATAACCCTCCTGACAGGTGTCTGGTGATATGCCATTGTGGTTTTAATTTGTACTTCCCTGATAATTTTCCTATGTCCATTGGCCATCTGTACACCCTCTTTGGTGAAATGCCTATTCGGGTCATCTGTCCAGTTTTAATGAGATTGTTTAGATTTTTGGTAGTGTTGTATGAATTCCTGATATATTTTGGATAGTAAACCCGTATTGGGTATATCACTGGTGAATGTCTTCTCCCATTAGTAGGCTGTCTTTTTGTTTTGTTGATGGTTTCCTTTGCTATGCAAAAACTTTTTAGTTTGGTGTACTCCCATTTGTTTAATTTTTCTTTTGATTCCTTTGTAAAAGAAGACATCAAAATCACTAAGAGTGATATCAAAGAGTTTACTGCTTATGTTTTCTTCCAGGAGTTTTATCGTATCAGGTCTCGTATTTAACTGTTTAATTCATTTTGTTTATTTTTGCCTAATTTTATTTTTTGAACATACCTGTCCAATTTCCCCAACACATTTATTGAAGAAACTGTCTTTACCCTATTTTATATTCTTGCCTCCTTGTCATAGACTAACTGCCCATATAGGCATGGGTTTATTTCTGAGCTCTCTATTCTTTTCCATTGATCTACCTGTCTGTTTTTTGTTTTTTGTTTTTTTGGGGTTTTTTGCCAGTACCATGGTGTTTCGATTACTATAGCCTTGCAGTATAGGTTGATATCAGGTATTACACGTCCAACTTTGTTCTTCTTTCTCAAGATTGCTTTGGCTATTCAGGGTGTTTTGTGGTTCCATATAAATTTTAGGATTATTTGTTCTAGTTTTGTGAAAAATGTCAATGGTATTTGGATAAGGATTGCATTGGATGCACATGTGTAGATTGATACTACTTTGCGTAGTAGGGACATTTAATGACGTAAGTTTTTCCTACCCATGAGCACAGTATATGCTTTTGTTTACTTTTATCTTCTTCATTATCTTTCTTCCATGTATTACACTTGTCTGAGTACAAGTCTTTTACCTCCTTGATTAAATTTATTCTTAGGTATTTTATGCTTTGATACAACTAAATGGGGTTATTTTCTTAATTTCTCTCTCTGATATTTGATTTTTGGTATATAAGAATGAAATTTATTTCTGAACATTAATTTTGTACCCTGCTAATTTACTGAATTTATTTATTAGTCCTAATAGTTTTTTTTTTTTGTGGAATCTTTAGGGTTTTCTTTATATAGTATCGTGTCATCTGCAAATAATGACTGTTTTACTTGTTTCTTTTCCTTCTGGAATGCCTTTTCTTTCTTTCCTTGTCTGATTGCTCTGGCTAGAACTTCCAATATTATGTTAAATAGAACCAGTGAAAGTAATTTCCTTGTCCTGTTCCCAACTTAAAGAAAAAGCTTTCATCTTTCTACCATTGAGTTGATGTTAGCTGTCAGTTCATCTTATATGGCCTTTAATATGTTGAGGTATGTCCCCTCTACTTCTATTTTGCTGATAGTTTTTATCATAAATGGGTGTTGGGTTTTCTCAAATGCTTTTTCTGCGTCTATTGACATTATCATATGATTTTCATTATTCATTTTTTTTGTGTGACGTATCACATTAATTGATTTGTGGGCATAGAACCAACCTTGCATCACAGCAATAAATTCTATTTGATCATGAGGTATGATCCATACAATGTATTGCTGAATTCGGTTTGCTAATATTTTGTAATAGATTTTTCTGGTGTTTGGTATCAGGGTAATGCTGGCATCTTTAACTGAGTTTGGGAGCTTTCTTTTCTCTTCATTTTCTTGGAGTAGTTTGAGAAGGATCAGTATTAATTCTTCTTGAAATTTTGGTAAAATTCACGTTGTGGTCATCTTGTCCAGAATTTTTGTTTTGTTGGGAAACCAAAAGAAATTGTGACATATTTTATTGGGATATTTATGTTATTACAGTTGTCTGAAACCAACCATATAATACTTTGAGGTGTGCCTGTATAAAGTGAATCTCCTGAAGATAGTATTTTACTAGATTATTATTACTGCTTTAATCCATTTACCAATCTGTATTTTTTTCAATATTGTATTTTTTCATTACCATTTATCCCCCTTCCTTTCTGTACCCTCCTCTACCTCCACCTGCCCCTCCCACCTGCATACACCACAATGTTGTCTGAATCCATGAGTTTTCTTTTTTGCTCCATCTTCCTATCCCAACCCCTCCATCCCAGAGCCGTCAGCCTGTTCTCCATGAGTCTGTCTCTATTTTGCTTGTTAGTTTGTTCATTAGATTCCACAAACGAGTGAAATCATATGGCATTTGTCTTTCTCTGTCTGGCTTATTTCATTTAGCATAATGTTCTCCAGGTCCATCCATTATGTCACAAAGGGAAGATTTTTCTTCTTTTTTTAAGGCCAGGTAGTATTTCATTGAGTAAATGTACCATAGCTGTTTTATCTACTCATCTGCTGAAGAAACTTGGCCTGCTTCTAAATCTTGGCTGTTGTAGATAATGCTGCAATAAACATAGGGGTGCTTATATTCTTTCAGATTAGTGTTTCGGGTTTCTTCAGATAAATTCCCAGAAGTGGAATTGCTGGGTTGTAAGGCACTTCCATTTTTAATTTTTTAAGATAACTCCATACGTATTTCCATATTGGCTGCAATAATCTGCATTCCCACCAACAGTACAAAAGTGTTCCCCTTTATTCACATCCTCACCAGCGCTTGTTGTTTTTTGATTTATTGATGATAGCCATTCTGACAGGTGTGAGATGATATGTCATTGTGGTTTTAATTTGTACTTCTCTGATGATTAACAATGTTGAGCATCTTTTCATATGTCGGTTGGCGATGGGTATGTCCTCCTTGGAGAAGTGTCTGTTGAAGTCCTTTGCCCATTTTTTAAATGGATTGTTTA